CGAAAATGTATTTGCTAACAAAAATGCGCACTCACATAGCATAATGATAAATTATTAAAAAAAGATATAAAAGAATAAAGATAAAAGAAAAAAGATAGTGATAAAGCCAACCTTTTCACGACAGAATTTCCCTCTTTCCCTTACTGATGAGCACAGAGCAGGAATAATGACCCTGTTCAGTTTCCGTCTAATTGTAAGCGGACGTTCGGAAAGGAGAGTGAACTAAGTCTTTACTGACACCCTTCAATAGATTTAATTGAATATTGAAATAACCGGCCTTCAAAGTAACAATTACAATTCGTATAACTTCGTATAATGTAGCTCAATGCCCTGAGCAGTTCATACACACTGCGAGCGTCACGTGCGTCTCCGTGTAAATTTAACCGACGCTCTTTTATGGCTAATATAGTTCAAATACGAATACCAAAGTGCTAGGTATGTAATTGAGCAGTTGAAAAAAAGCAGAAAAAGCTGTTCTGGTTGCCCTGTATAGTACCCTGCCGATGTCAGCTTGCACGTGCACGGAAGGCGCGTTTGTCGAATTTCCACTAGTTGTTATCATTACGATATCGGCTCGTTTGTCTTATCTCCTCACTCTCACCATTCGAAATGGAGGATAACATAGTGGCTATTAGCTAATACTAATTAGCAGCCAGTGGGGATCGGCATAGAACTAAAGGCGCTCATCGGCATAGTTGTCCAGCTTTCACCGGAATTCTCACAAATTTCCACATTTTGACTGTAGCATAACTTCCACAATCGCCTGCCGAATCATCTGAGAACATTTGGGAGATAACAGCCTTAGTTCTTCGCAGAACATGCCTATAAAACAGTGGAGCCGTCGGTGAATTCGGCTTCATGTCTTTAATGTCTTCTGGTACTGTTCTTGACACGATATCGGAACTCTAGAGCTGACGGGGCGCTTGCTGGGGTAGATTGCAGTTCCAAAAGTCGAAGCATGTTGAGGATCTGAACACGTCGATCCAGTCGAAACTTCAGGTCACTCTGATAAATGTCCCGCCTAACAACCTCATAAGGCACAAAACAACTGAAACAAGCTCAGCAGTGTTATTAGGAGAGGAGTGTTGTCTGGAAGCTAGATACCATCGGATTTAATCGAAATAACCACCCTTCGAACCAGCACACTTTTGATGTGACACAAGTCAATAAATCCCATCAAAGGAAAAAAAGCTGGGTGTTCAATAATCCCACGAAATCCGCGGAGGCTTTTCTCGCCTGGTACTGACTGATGAAGTAGAGGATGGAAGGAAAGTCTTGTCACTGTTGAAACTTTTTTCTTTTTCTATTTTCTAACTCAACATACAGTGGGAATTAGTCAACAATAAATGCCTCTCGGAAATAAGTTAGGCCACTATAATGCTCTCTTTAATGAAAGGGTGAGCCTTTCGCTCCTCCCAGAACTAAGGAGGCTGCGAGTAGAGTAAGTAAGCGGCCTTTCGACTGATGTCATCAAAGTTGCTGAAAGTTTTCTTAGCTAAGAAAGCCTTAAGGAGGCGGAGCAGGAAGAAGTCTTAGGGGACTACGCTACGAGAATATGATAAGCGGGGAGTGGTCTTCCAGCCTTGCTCCTCAATTATTTGGTAGGTCTCCATAGCAGGTATGTGGTCTCGCGCACTTCTAAAGAGGTACCCAAAGCGAGTCTTGGTCATTTTTCTCCGACAATTTTCACCGGTTTCAGGAGCTGAGCGATACAAGTGGTAGCGATGGCCGTGTGTTCTCATATGGGCAACTTGTTGTGCAGCAATTCGCCGTTCGCGTCACAAAGCAGTAAAGAATAACCTATGCCTATAGCCCATTAATGTCCTTATCTTTGACTACCAAAAAGTACTCTCGATGCGAATCCACCGCCACCTTCACAGCCTGTGCAGAGAAAAGCGCACCGCCCTAGCCGCAGCTCCTGCCGGACAAGACTCGACGGATAGTCCACCATCCGCAGCCTGTCGCGAAGACTGCGGGTGCGCGCGGAGCCCATTCACATCGTGAGGCGTCCGCAGACCGAGGTTTTCTCTTAGAGGATCGATTACGCGGAAGTGATGTGAACCAAAAGTGAACAGTCCTGATGGTAGTGGTGTCCTCCGCCAATGCACTGCTGATGTTAGAGACAGCCGCCGCTACTCCAGTGCCGCAGGGCCACCGGTAGAAGATGATGATGCGATGATGCTCCTGTGAATCTAAAGTCGTAGTTAGACCTAGGAAAGAGCACGCCGCGCCGTTGTCCTCTTGCCCACGAAAGACTCTCACAACATTCTATCACACATGGCGTATTACGCTCGATGTTCAGCATTGAGAATCAAAGACTGTAAGCTTTTAAAGGAAACACCGAGAGGACTTTCCTTCCAACCTATATTTTCCAGCAAGGAAGTTCTGAAAATGTTTGAAAAGGTGATAGTCGGTTGGTGAAAGGTCTGGAGAATATGGCGGTTGAGGTAGAACTTCAACCCCCAATTCGTTCAATTTATGGATAGTGATTTGTGAAACGTGCGTTTGCGGGCGTTGTCATGCAAAAGAATCAGGACCCTTTCTTTTGATAAGTGCGCTGGCCAGCTATGACCATTTTTCTGATACATTTCGTCGATTTCACAGCAGGAATCTGCTGTGATGTCACACCAGCCGATGACCACCACACTGTGACCATAATCTTCTTTCGTGAGGATTCGGCTTTGGAAATTGCCTCCGTGGTTCGTCGGCATCCAATCACTGTCCGGAACGTCTTTAACGTACATGATCCACTCTTACTCATCACAGTGAAACTCGTCGCAAAAACTGATTCGTTTCTGTTCAAAAACGGGTCGTTTCTGTTGCGCAAAAGCAGTGAAGAAGAAACCTCGAGACGTGCCAATTTCTGCCGGTCACTCAAATTGTGGGGCACCCACTTGTCGAGTTTTTTCACCTTCCCAATGCGTTTCAGACCATCCGCAACAGTGGATTTGCCAACGCCTAGCTTTTCTGCAATCTCTCGAACTGTTTGGGATGGTCAGCCTCCACAAACGCCTTCAAATCCTCGTCAGGTATTGCTTTAGGTCGACCGCTACGAGGTTCATCTTCAAGGCTGAAATCTCCAGAACGAAATTTGTCGAACCATTGTCGCACGGTGCTTTCTCCAACACTATTGGGCCCCCACACCTGGTTAATTTGTCGAGCTGTCTCGACTGCGGATTGACCCAATTTTAGTTGAAGAAAAATATCGTCCAAAGTTGCTCTTTTGACATGCTTCAAAAAGTCTTGGGAAAAGGGCAATGTGAAACGGCAATTATACCATCAGATAGCGCAAAAAATTCTCTTCAGGATGTACTACTGAGACGCAAGGGAGAATGAGTTTTTAATCAGCAATGAATGTACAAAAAATAGTAACACAAAACGCTGAGAACTTTCCGGACAACCTAATACATTATGACTGTTTGAAAGCAGCGCCCGCGTTCAATTTGATCAGTTATGGGCTCAGACAATTACAACAAGGTAGCAAGTAGTTCATTAGTGAAGAAAAATGCAAAAAAATCATCGGATATGCCCTATATAGGACCCCACGCCGAGCTGAGGTTGTACGTGCTTGAGGCGAAGAGAAGGCGCGGCCGCACGAGTTCTCACTTGTTGGTATCAGCTGTTTTCCCTTATCACCTCACTCTCACCATTCGACGTGGAGAGAGTTAGTAGCAGAACAACCGCACCATCAGGCAACCATTAGAAATGAAGTTGGGCGTAGTGGTCGCCAGGTGGGCGGGGTGGCCGACTCTTCACGAGCGGGCGCCGCTATTCTCTCGCATTTTTGAGTTGCGAAACTAGCACGTCCACCATCCTCAGGTGAGCTACGATATCCAGTGAGGGCGTGGGAATGACAAATGAACGCGGGCGCTGCCTTTAAAATCCACGTCGACTAGTAACGACCGGTACTTATATCGGCTTTATTTAGCACCCCTTCTTACGTATTATACCGAGAAGATGGTGGGAGCGCGTTCATACTTTTCGACTTGAGCGATTCGGTCGCTTCACATGATCGACTATGAGCGACTGTTCTCCCTTAACGCTGGCATCGTTTGAAAGGAAAGGAACGAGGCGCTTCATCGTTTATCGGTGAATCGCTGCACCGGCTACTTCTTGCATTGAATAAGCAAAAGAATGAAATAGAAGGCAATTTTTCATTATTTTTGCACACACTTGTTGCTAACGAGCGATTATTTTTACGTCTCGGTTTTCTTTGAGAACTTCTTGTTCATTATAATGACTGTTGGTGTTTGTGCATCGAAGCCACTTACTTTCGGTGTCATGGAGTTCTAACTACTATCCCATCTCATTTTCCGAAGTAATATTATCGCCATTTTCCATACTGAAGACAAATTGTTTAATCGCTTCAGTGGGTCCTGGCTATTGTTGGAAATGAATCCCTAGCTGCATTAGCGTGCTACTTTCTACGCTTAGAAATTCAGGAGAACGGGGCTGGGGAGTAAAGATGCCCAAGTGTCGTCTCGTGACTTCGTCCGCGCTGCAACATGTCTTGTCACATGCCCATCATAACCATACGTGTCACCTTGCCTGTGCCCTCCCATTTTTGCTTGTTGCTGTACCTCTGACAGCTTGTTCGGTGCGGCAATGTGGTATCGACGCAAGTGCTTGACGATACCGCGGACACAGTCGCAAGACGGCACCAGGATATCACTCCTTCTTGTACCCATGAACTTCTGGCGGAGAAAGAGGCACGCCACCGCAGTTGAAAGCGCATGTACCTTTCACATAGAAGAGACCGTTCTCGGAGGTGAGTATACATCGGTCAGAACAAAGAAAAAGCATCAAAAGAGATGTTATTCAAAATGTGAAGGAGTACCAGTTGTAGCGAGCTAACAATCAGTAGTGGAGGGTCTGTCGCAGTCGCTCGACATGGGCGATTACAACACTCGAGTTGCGAAATATGCGCGGTGGTCAGCTCGCCCTGACACATGACTTTAATTCATTCTCACCTCTCTGCAGGAAGCCATTGGAGAGATTTCATGGTCGAAGCAATCGACGACATGGAGGCCGTGTACCTCACTAAACGACAATTCATGGATGCGCGCAGTCTCCTACAGAGTGGAAACTATACAGGTTATTGAGCCATTGATATTTGATTTTGGAACTACGTTTGGACTAACCATAAGCGAGTAAGATCATGAAACATGTCGCGGCGCAAAAGAAAATGCCTCCTCTCCGGCGCCCTGCGCTCTCGTACGGCACCCAAAATGGGTCCTGCACAACTACTGTCAAGGCCGTTGTCACTCGTGGTGCAGTTCTCGGCCCATGTAGAATACGCTGACCGGACGCCGAGAGGAATACGTCCTTTGTTGCACAAACTTTATGTGTTGTGCACATAAAGCTGTCGTATGAGGCAAACTACCTTAGGCATATTCACATGATCAATGGTCAATGATTACGACCAATAGGTTGCAGGTGAACTTTTTCGGTGGCCCCTAGTGAGGCTATAGATGAAAAAAAACCTTCTCCAAGAACAAGCGGAACAAGCGTAGAAGATACGTGGTTTAATTTATCGTCACCTTTCACACCAAATAAAGGGGAAGTGGACTGAGTTAGTTCATTTAGTGAGCCAGTGATTGCGACACATCAGGGTTAGGGGCAAGCGTTACCTGCAACTAGATCCTCATCCTCCAAGAGACCTGCGTTGTGAAGACATCTGAGGCGTGGGCAGTCGGGTAGCTGCGCACGGTGGCAGTCACCCGGGCGTCGATATGGACGAACACGGAGCCTAACTCACAAAAACGTCTCAGCGAGTCAGGACCTGAGAGGCAGCTCTGCTTCTGTGGATTACTGTAAGGTGGGCGGTATTACTCCAGTGCCGACTCTAGCGAACCCTTTGACCAGGTGGTCGAAGCCGTTGAAATTCGAATAAATCTTTTAATCGTTGAATTTGCAGTTTGCATCTGTCCGCTTGTAGATCGCTGCGGCGATGGGAGAGCAGAACACAGGATAAGTCGCACAAAGCCGCGACAAAGCCTAGAAAGTAATGACGTGTTGAAGCTATTCGTGAATTTCAAGGAGACGGAAGTGGCTAGTGGACATAATTTTCTGGAATGTTTTCGATTCCAGTAGAGTGATAAACGTAAGGCTACGTTCATACTTTGTAGCAGCGTCCACCAGCGTCTACCAGCGTCCACTAGCGTTCCGAGCGTCCGGCAGCGTCAGCGACTAGGAAAGTATAGATATCGATCTAGCGTCTGCCAGCGTCCACCAGCGTTCACCAGCTATCGGGAGTAGAGGCGTAGAGAGTACGGGAAATAGAGGTAGCAAACAGCTGGATTACGCGTCGTGAAATCGCGACGTTTACAACTACATCGTAAAACTACACTACACCGTGCAACTACACTGCACATTGAGTCGCACAATTCCGTGCTTCGGTTGTGCGATGCGGTTGCACACGCTGCAACTTCACGAGCCTAATCCAGCAGCTTGCTACCCCTACTTGCCCTGACACTCTACCCCGGTCGCTGGTGAACGCTATCAAACGATCTATACTTTCCTAGTCGCTAACGCTGCCGGACGTTCGGAACGCTAGCGGATGCTGGTAGGCGTTGGTGGACCCTACTACAAAGTGTGAATGCAGCCTGGTGAACGGCGTGGAAGTGAACAACACCCACGACCTTCAGCTTAATAGACGTAGTCTCAGCTCTTATGCGGCTGGGACTTAATTTCGGAAAATGACGAAAGGTATGCGTGGTGATGGGAGCGCTGAAGTGCAAGGTAACGTTTGTCGCGAAGCGCATTTCTCAAAGCCAGTATGCTTAGTGAAGCGAGGCTGTGCTCTCTTTTAAGGCTTCCACTGCCTATAGTTCTTGAGCTACTACTGATAGCTCACGTTTTTAAGCAAATGCTAGCTACCAGCTCGAAACAACTCAAATGCTATTCTATTTCCATTTTCGGACACATGAGTGCCCCAAGAATAGGTGTTTAAGCGAGGGATTGCCTTTTGAACCTTACATTTACAACTTGTTGTGCTTTCAGCCTGAAAAATACTTTTCGGCTGTATTTTAGACGCTACGAACACGGCACCAGAAGTTCTACATCCCTACGAACCCCTTGCGAGTGATATCTGGGACGTTCATCGCAGGCCAATACTTTCGCGAGCGCATGCTATGGATGGTGAATTAATGAGGAATTTCGGAGAAACTATCGAGTTGCAGGATAGCTACGAAAATCACATCAACAGCGTATCTTTCCCGATTGAAGCTGGTAAGTTGCTGTGGCCAATATTTATGACGAACTTTCAGTGAAACAGTAGTAGAGACTCTAGTACCACTAATTCCGTTGAACAAACTACCCATTCTTGATAAATTACCTCAACGACCCTTGCACGGGCGCGCCATCGCGTTGTGCAAATTTTTGCTACGTACGCTTCACCTTCCAAAACACGGTCTCGGTAAGACCCTCTACCCGATTATATGAGATGATATCGGGTTGTATGTTTGAAAGAGCGTTCGCACGCATTCAGCAGTTGCACTTTAGCGAGCTTATTCGCGCTTTCTTTTCAAAATAGGCTTCTGAAGAGGGAAAATCAATGTTGTAAAGGCCTAGGCTGGGTATTGATTGATTGTGCCCAAGTGATTGGAAACCTCTTTACCACGTTCGCGGTGACACCGTTCCGCCAAAAACTCCCGTTTGTCGAGTTCTACTCGAAACTTTCCCACCTTTCCTTTTGAAAAAAATTGTGTGGCAGCTAGTTCGGATGGCGTGGTACCATCAGAATCAACTTCTTTCAAAGAATACACAATAAATGTTGCTGCTGGTAATATTTATCTGCATTATTATGTGCATACAGTTTCGAATGAAAATGGAGAAAAATCACACGAAAACAAGCGCATGTACTCCTGGGATTTTACGATTCGCCCAAAGAAATATTTTGCGCGTTGTTCCGGGAATACAAGCCTCTTGGATTGTGATAATAATCTTTCTCTATAGTTTGTATTATTATTATTATTTGTGTTCAACTGTTAAATAAAAAAATTACGAAAAAGGAGCGAAAGGGCGCGTGTACTCCCGCCAGTAGACGATTAGCCGAGGGAGAAGTTTTTGCATGCACTCCCGAGAGTACAGCCGCCTCGGAGTGTAGGAAAATTTCCCGTCGTGACGTCGCTGTAGAATTTTCATCTGCGAGTTTTCTGCTTTGAACAGCCACAGCTTTCCTCGTATGTGACCTTTTCTAAAATAAAATATACCAAAACCTAGAAGAATTTCCCTCCCTGAGGGAACAACTCATTTTTTTTCCTAGGACTGCTATGAGCAAAATTCTAAGTTGTGTTTTCGTTGTGACAGTTTCAGGTGACAGGAGAAACCTACACCTCTAGTGCAATATCATTTCCAGTCCGTATGAAGACTTCAGTACGCTCGTGGACGGCCACCGTACTTCTATTCCCCACCCTTTCCCCCTTCGATGACTGTACAACATCTTTGTATAGCTGTCTTCCCACTTCCAAATGAGACCTGCGCTTGTAATACCGTCTTTGATGAGGCACCTACAGTATCAGTTGCTAACGAGCCTCTGTGCAAATCTCAGAGTAAGGTTTCCCGAGCTATCAACCCTGTCTGGCAACCAGTTGTCGCGCAATTCTATCGCCCGCAATGAGTGGCAATCTTGTTGGATTTTGTGCGGCAGGAGCTTTTCTGTCACTCTTGTTTGTATTAAAGTCCATGATGAATCACATTTTCAGGTCAGAACTATCGAGACACGCTCGCAGAAACACATGCTTCAAAGCAACGCTCAGGAAGTGCGGAAGATTTCGATCAAGTCTCGGGAGACTCTCAGCTAGAAGAAGGTCTCTCAGTGGATCCTCTTGCAGTATCTATTT